TAAACTGTCTTTGGTTTCGATAGAAAATGCACACTTCTGACTAAGATCCTAAAGATGTTAAATAACCTTATAAAGGGCATATAAAGCACCTCTTGAGACAAATCTGAAATTCAGTTTTGATTCGTGTCTCATGGTTGTTCTTCTCACTTCAAAGGGGTCCAAGTAACATGATTCTAAAGGGTTTATCAAATATTTACCACTCAACACAAATAATTAATCATCCACCTGGGAAGACATAAGACAGAAACAACTAGTCATAGACAATTCTCTCAAAAAATAACTATTCAGTGTACTTACATTTACATTTTACATTTTAGTAATTTAGCAGCTGCTCTTATCCAGAGCGACTTACAGTAGTGAGTGCATACAATTTCGTACTGTTCACATATTATGGGGTGACATTTGAGTTTGCAATGTACCTGTGCCATTGGACATGTCAACATATGAACACTGAGGCAGAATATGTTTGGGATGGATAAAAGTTAGCACCAAAGTTTGAGCGATGCCTGATAAAGACCAAGAGGATAGGTCTGATATGAAGGTTTTTACTTGCTAATGAGTTAAAGAGAGTGCAGTATGTGGGGACTCGTTAATCTAAATGACATAGCACATAGGGTTTCTTAGCACTATAGATCCTTCACCAACTATTAAAGAATGAGTCGCCCATTCAGCATCTTGATCAGTATGTCATGTTCATGTTGAATGTTTCTGGTAAAGAGAGATTTCCTTAGACAATAGACAACAGTCCTCCATTGTATATAGTGTTGATTTATGGTAGGTTGCCTGAAAGGTGTGCTGGCTCACATGGTAGCGTGGTTTACAACTACAGTCCTGAGCGGACCTATCCCCCTGGATTAGAGGTTTTACTGGTTCACAGGAGTACTCAAAGTGGTCTTGCAGGACAGGGCAGAGTCATGGTATACATGGTCTGAATGGGTGTAGATGTTTACACAGAAACACTATTGTGTAGACACATGTGAATGAGGCAGTGTTGTCTTGCACTCCATCCTGAGAGGCTCACAGGTCAATCCTGAGGTCAGTCATTCAGTGGTTATTGAATGCCTCCATGCCCCCTCCCTGTTATGTGAAAGTTCAGGTCACATGCACTTAATCAGGAAGCCTGCCTATTTGTCAAATAAACTGTCTGAACAAGGAGGTAGCCATTCAGTATGTCAATAACTATTGTACATTCAGTCCCTATGGGGCATTCAGTCCCTATGGGGCATTCAGTTGCTTTCATCTCTATGTGTGAAGTGCGGGTTTGTGAAGATAATAAAAAAAGCATAATCCAGAATCTTCATAAATTGTTTTAAAAAACATTCATTTTTTAAATCAAGGAACAGCGTCCAGAGGTTATCATCTCCCACTAAGTGACCATGAGTAGTCCCGTGTAGCTCAGTTGGTAGAGCATGGCGCTTGCAACGCCAGGGTTGTGGGTTCGTTTCTCACGGGGGGCCAGTATGGAAAATGTATGCACTCACAAACCATAAGTCGCTGTGGATAAGAGCGTCGACTAAAATATAGTCTATTCTTGGTTTGCTTGTTATATACTGTAGCTCATACACTGAGTTATGCAGTAATCATATTAAGTCCAACTGCAGAGCACAGTATGGAGGTTGAGACAGCTGTATCTTATTCATTGTGTCATTTGTACACATCCACACTGATTACACAGAGAACCAGGTAGGCCTATACTGTACAGGGGAATGCAATGCAAAGAGATGATAATAAGAATGGGAATTTAGGAGCTCGGACTCATTTTTCACACTCACATTTTGAGATGCTAGTTTGTAAGTAGACAACCCTCCATACATGTCATTATACTGTACTGTCCCTTTTGTACTGTACTCACAAAAGTTGAATAGGGTTACCTATCAGTGCCGCATGATGTGTATTACATGAAGCCCAATGTATTTACCTACATACTATGTTGCCATATGTTATTTCTGCTATTATGAAAAAATCCTCAATATTGTGAACTAATCAAGAGTAAAATCATTTGGAAAGAGTTCAAGTGATGGTGTTCAATTATGTGCATGTGGCTTGTAGCTATTGTCTTTTTGTAAGCAGCGAAAACGTGCAAAGAGCGTTCCATTACAAAAATAAACGTTTTATTCCTTAGTTCCAAGATTTAGGATACTCTATTTTACAACACTATAGTGCCTAGTGCGACACAAGGATGAGCAGCAGTCGTATGGTTGCAGATATCAGATGGATGTGTCTTTACTGCGGTATTTAGCGCATCAATGCAGGTAATAGGCAAATGTTAGAATTACAATCAAACACTCGTGATATTAATGTAAGTCAGTCGTGACACAAAATCAAACACACATTTGTCAGCGCTTGTGTCGGCAAGGGAGCGAAATTATCCAACATTGGCATGATGCAAATTGTCTTATGTACGCTATTTATCTGACGCGGAAAATTCAGCATATGAGAAAGGCAGACAATAAAATGACAAACGTTTACCTTTGTAGAGTGGTAATCCAGTGTTCTTTATCAATATCGCTGCCACACGCGGCAGTGAGGTCTCTGCTACAATGTACAGGCACCACAGTGAGCTACACTACATAGCACACAGGCACACACACCCACCAATCTCCCCTACACGGTTTGCATCTCACTCCTTGCTCAAATACATGCGTCTTTCCCTCCTTGAGGACAGGCGAAAGGATGTAGGTGGCGTCAGGACTCATTATGTCATATTATGGGATGTATGTTACATTACAGGCTCCTTACACATTTATCATCATTAGAATGTTGATGGATCATTTGATTAAATACATTCTTGTAAAATGTGAAATTCATGTAAGATTAATTGAATACATTTGATTAATTGTAGCCTATGAGGTAATAGTACGTTTGGTGAAGTTGGTGTTTTTTTAAAGCGTATTTCTGGTTGAAGAACCACTGTGGACCACTGTGCATAGTGACTCGGGAACAGGTGCAAATGTGAGAAATGACTACACCATAAGAGTAGCTTATTGGATCCATCTTGGGCTCACTCGTCAATTAAGCTACATGGTAATGCATGAAATACACTCGAATGTAAGCGAACAATAGTGTGCAGGTTGACACTGAAATATACATCAAAGCATCAGACAATAGATCATTGATAGTGTGTATGTATTACAAAAGAAAGAAAGAAATATACTGCAATACAGCCTAACATGCCAAACATCACTCTCATTTCAAACAAAAAACGGTGTTTGTCATGTACAGAGCGCCATCACGTGGCTCATATTGTACCATACATACTATGTACAGTGTGCAGTGTAAAATGCGTGTCTGCTGATGGCACTCTTTTAAAGGAAATGAATGTTCATGTTCATGTCTTGTGGTGCGTACCAAACATGAACTCAAAACATTTATTTTAAAACAGATTACATAAATGGTTAATCTTTGCATTTGTATGCATTTGTAAAATCAAAATTCATTGGGGTGATGGATTGTATAATAATACAATCCTTATTTGATCAATTTGTTGAAAACCCTTTACAATTCTAACGCATGACATTATTACAAAATAATTTACAGTACCACTGCGTCTATGGTAGGGTTGGGGTCATTACAATTCAAGTCAGTCAATTCAGAAAGTGATTTAAATCTAACATTTTTTAATGGAAAAACTTTTGAAATAAATAGCTTCTCCATTTTAGTTTATTTAGAAGTAATTGAAAATAGATGCCCTTTTTTCGATTAAATTTATACAGTCCCATCCCTCAGCTGTTCACCAAAAAAGTGACAGGGTGCGCTTTGTTGTTGTTTGAATCCCAAATTACCCTTTTAAATACGAATTTCAGTTTACTTCCTGAATTGACTGACTTGATGATGATGTTCTATGTGGTTCTGTTCTACACACTCAAACCTTCATGCATGCTGATGCTCATATACAGTGCCTTCAGAGAGTATTCACACCCCTTGTCCTTTTCCACATTTTATTGTGTTACAGCCTGAGTTTAAAATGTATTAAACAGATATTTTGTGTCACTGGTCTAAACACAATACCACATAATGTTAAAGTGGAATTATGTTTTTAGATCAATTAAAAGCTTTGTTATGGCAAGCCTAAATAAGTTCAGAAGTAAACATGTGCTTAACAAGTCACATAATAAGTTGCATGGACTCACTGTGTGCAATAATAGTGGTTAACATGATTTCTAAATGACTACCTCATCTCTGTTCCCCACACATACAATGATCTGTAAGGACCCTCAGTCGAGAAGTGAATTTCAAATACAGATTCAACCACAAAGACCAGGGAGGTTTTCCAATGCCTCACAAAGAAGGGCACCTATTGGTAGATTGGTAAAAAAAAAGAAAAAAAAAAGCTGACATTGAATATCCCTTTGAGCATGTTGAAGTTATTAAGAGACTTAGAGACTTACCCAGAAAGACTCACAGTTGTAATTGCTGCCAAAGGTGCTTCTACAAAGTATTGACTCAGGGGTGTGAATACTGATGTAAATGAGATATTTCTGTATTTCCTTTTCAATACATTTTCAAAAAACATGTTTTCACTTTGTCATTATGGGGTATTGTATGTAGATGGTAATTATTAGTTATTTTTTAATCCATTTTTCATTCAAGCTGTAACACAACAAAATGTGGAATAAGTCAAGGGGTATGAATACTTTCTGAAGGCACTTGTCACGATCGTTGAGAGACGGGTCAGACCAAGGTGCAGCGTGGTATGCGAACACGTTTATTAAACTCAATAAACATAAACAAAACAATAAACAACGTAACGTCCCCAGGCTATACACATACAAGCCTAAACACGGAACAAGATCCCACAACTAAGGTAGGCAACCAGGCTACTTAAGTATGATCCCCAATCAGAGACAACGAGCGACAGCTGTCCCTGATTGGGAATCACACCCGGCCAAACATAGAAATACAATACCTAGAACATAAACATAGAATTTCTAGCATAGATTCTCACGCCCTGACCAAACCAACTAAAGACAACCGGCCTCTCAAGGCCAGGGCGTGACAGCACTGTAAATAACACTGCCTGATTAGATCTTGATAGATATTTTAGAGGGCAGTCATTCAAAAATCATATAACAACAGAGCTGTGTATCATCGTGTTCTCCGGGGTATGTGAGGGGGAGAGGTGGTCCTCTGAGGTGGTCTCTGAGGAAGAGCTCGAGAGGGGCATGATATGTAACGCTCCTCCAGCAAACTCTCTGCAGCCCTAAAATGTATAACAGATAACAACATGGTTACACTTGGCTTGACAAATTAAACAGAGATGAAACCCCCTAATTAGCATCATAATAACAAACATAACAATATGTCAGTTTAAGCTAGAGATATCTGTGTTTTTTTCATTGGTTGCGTCTCATTCCACCGCATCCGCCTGATCTTTCTTATATCTCTCAGCTATAGGACAGACACTGTTGTTTTTTGGGGACTATCTGTTGTTCCTGTAAGGTTCTGTATTTATTTTCTTATTTCACCTTGTGTTCTTGAACGTAGCCCTGTTTCTTTGTGTTCTTGAACGTAGCCCTGTCTTTCATTTTTGTTCATTGATTTCACCTGTGTTAGTTACTCACCTGGTCTCATCAGCTCCTTATTTACTTCAGTTCTTTCTGTTTGTGCCTTGTGAGGTATTGTTCGTTTTGACTCTACTAAGACTTTTCCTAGCTCGTTTGTGAGAACCAGTTTTAGCCTTCAGTCATAGTTTTGTTTCACCTGCCTGTTTGCCTATCTGTGTATGACCATTGCCTGCCTGTGACCACAATTCCTGCCTTCTGCGAAGGCGTAATAAACACTTGCCGCGCTCTGCGTGTGAATCTACACCTTTTTCTCCCTGAGTATTCATTACAGTTCCATGTAGTGAATGTTATTCAATGCGTTTGTATGGGCTAATTGCACTAAGTTCAAATACACATTTTCATCAAATAATTTTTTATATATACTTTTTTATACTTCAAGGGGTCTTAAAATTCTAAATCAAATTGCTAAATTATCCTTGGTATGACCTTCTTAAAACAATTCCATATGTTCATGTGAGACAAACAGTATTTCCGGTCATTTCAAAAGAGTGTATCTCTCAGGGGAATTATTAAAATGGCCAAGGTGATCCCAGGCGGTGTCACAGCCGGCCGTGACAGGGAGTCCTATAGGGCGGCACACTATTGGCCCAGTGTCGTCCGGGTTAGGGGAGGGTTTGGCCAGGGGGCCTTTTCTAGGCTTATCGCGCTCTAGCAACTCCTTGTGGTGGGCCGGGCGCCTGCAAGCTGACTTCAGTTGTCAGTTGAACAGTGTTTCCTCTGACACATTGGTGCGGCTGGCTTCCGGGTTAAGCGAGCAGGTGTTAAGAGGCAGCGCGGCTTGGCGGGTCATGCTTCGGAGGACACGACTAGACCTTTGCCTCTCCCGAGCCCGTTGGGGAGTTGCAGCGATGAGACAAGATCATAACTACCAATTGAATATCACGAAATTGAGGAGAAAAAAATATTTTATTATAAATATATATTTTTTAATGGCTGCACCCTTTTACTGTCTCATACTGTAGAGCCCCTTATACACTATATATACAAAAGTATGTGGACAGCCCTTCAAATTTGGCTATTTCAGCTACACCCGTTGCTGACAGATGTATAAAATCGAGCACACAGCCATGCAATCTCCATAGACAAACATTGGCAGTAGAATGGCCTTACTGAAGAGCTCAGTGACTTTCAATGTGGCACCGTCATAAGATGCCACCTTTCCAACAAGTCAGTTCATCAAATTTATGCCATGCTAGAGCTGCCCCAGTCAACTGTAAGTTCTGTTATTGTGAAGTGGAAACGTCTAGGAGCAACAACGGCTCAGCCGCGAAGTGTTAGGCCACACAAGCTCACAGGACGGGACCGCCAAGTGCTGCAGCGTGTAGCACGTACAAATCGTCTGTCCTTGGTTGCAACACTCACTACCGAGTTCCATACTGCCTCTGGAAGCAACGTCAGCACAATAACTGTTCGTCGGGAGCTTCATGAAATGGGTTTCCATGGCCGAGCAGCCGCACACAGGCCTAAGATCACCATGCGCAATGCCAAGCGTCGGCTGGAATGGTGTAAAACTTGCCGCCATTGGACTCTGGAGCAGTGGAAACATGTTCTCTGGAGTGATTAATCACATTTCACCATCTGGCAGTCCGACTGACAAATCTGGGTTTGGGGGATGGCAGGAGAACGCTACCTGCCCGAATGCATAGTGCCAACTGTCAAGTTTGGTTGGGGAGGAATAATGGTCTGGGGCTGTTTTTCGTGGTTCGGGCTAGGCCCCTTAGTTCCAGTGAAGGGAAATCTTAACGCTACAGCATACAATAACATTCTAGACGATTCTGTGCTTCCAACTTTGTGGCAACAGTTTGAGGAAGGCCTGTTCCTGTTTCAACATGACAATGTCCCTGTGCACAAAGCGAGGTCCATACAGAAATAGTTTGTCGAGATCGGTGTGGAAGAACTTGACTGGCCTGCACACAGCCCTGACCTCCACCCCATCAAACACCTTTGGGATGAATTGGAACGCCGACTGCGAGCCAGGCCTAATCGCCCAACATCAGTGCCGGACCTCACTAATGCTCTTGTGGCTGAATGGAAGGAAGTCCCCGCAGCAATGTTCCAACATCTAGTGGAAAGCCCTCCCAGAAGAGTGGAAGCTGTTATAGCAGCAAAGCTGGGACCAACTCGATATTAATGCCCATGATTTTGGAATGAGATGTTCAACAAGAAGGTTTCCACATACATTTGGTCATGTAGTGTAGCTGATTGTCTGTCTCACAGTTAGTCCAGTAAGTCTCAGCTCTATAAGAAATCAGACATACTTTCAGCTGCAATAACTGGATATGCATATTTTTTTTTACATTTCAAAATATAGCCTATGACACAGTTCAACTTCTAGGGTAAAGAATCATAAGTGTTTTTTTGCAATCATTATGGTCGGTGTTGGTTTTGTGGTTGGCAGTTGCATATCAACTCAGTTTACTCACATGAGATGCAAGATGCACATAGCTATCTACAAATATATATTCTGTCCAGTTTCATTACAATTAGGAAGAATAAATGGTAACACTGCTTTTGAATACCCTCTTCATAATGCATGTTTAACTCCTTATGAGCAGTGCATCATGTATTATAATGGACAACTTTGGTGCTAATAACTGCTTATAGACATCTATGACTACATTCATACTGCATTTTGACCAAGGCTCTATAATGCAAATGTTCATATGAATACAGTGAACATGAAACTAGACAAGTAAAACTCTCTATTCGTAGCATAATATAAACATTTTTATGTTAAACTAAACTCAACATCTATCCATCTCTCTACCATGTAACAAGTTTTCATGTTAGCTCATGAAGAAAAATGTTGCACTTGTATATAGCCTCTTCACACATCAGGTTTCCTCTCTGACAGCCCAGTAAGTGGTGGGCGATATTTCCTCTTTATCGTTTCTGTCATCTAACTTTTACCACTGCTTGTTGCCTACAGTGTAGAATACTCACTGATATGTTTCTCAAGTGTGCTTGTCTTTTCAATATGTCATATTCTCAAATTCAATTAATGGTTTACTCTTTGTTGAGCTGTTTTCTGTATCCTGGCGCAGACGAAGATGGCGGCCTCGCGACTAGCTCTTAGGAAACGTTGCAGTATTTTGTTTTTGTTGGAAGCACAAGCATTTCGTTACACCCGCCATAACATCTGCTAAACACGAGTATGTGACAAATAACATTTGATTTGATTTGATTTATCTACAGCATTAATAAATCACATTGTAATATTGTAACATTGGTTGTTATACTGCAACATTAGACCCTCTGTGATCCTTCACTTTTATAATAATCATATTTCTGTTGTCACGACTTCCTCCGAAGCTGCCTCCTCTCCTTTTTCGGGCAGGTTTCGGCGTTCGTCGTCACCGGCCTTCTAGCCACTGCCGCTCCTCATATCTTCATTCCATTTGTTTTGTCTTGTTTATACACACACCTGGTTCATATCTCCTCATCAGTCCCTGTATAAGTGTTCCCTCTGCACCCTTGTCTTTGTGTGTGATTGTTTATTGTAGAGGAGATTATAGCTCGGTGGAGCTCGTTTCTATTGTGTATCGCTGGGTTATTCACCCGTGTGCCTTATTTTCCCAGGGCGCCGTTTGTCCGCACTGGTGTGTATTACGCATTGCTGCGTACCTCTGTTTATTGATTAAACCATTTATTCCGTGATTTACTCTCCTGCGTCTGACTCAGTCCAACATCACCCGCTACAGCTGTAATACTATAAATTGCATGTTTAAGTAACATTTGGTTGTTGATTTCTGTGAGGAGGAAGTCACCTTGCTATCTATGATGATGTCATATTACTGATTCAATGTTGCCTTTCTGGAATTCCATATTGCATTACATGTAATATAACATTCTGTAATCAAGTTACAGCAAGTTTCTGCGATCCTGACACAGGAACGTATGAAAGGGCCTCTTATCCAGAGAGTGGGCTTACCTGTCTGGGAGTCGTGGGGGGATTCTGGGGGGAGGAGGTAGAGGTGCGGCTTCAGAGGTCCATGGGGGTCGTGGGGGTAGAGGGAGGAAGTCTACTGTGTCCTTTCCATGGATCAAATCAATACACAGCATAAGTAATAATCAGGGAATCTACAAAAGCACTGTCGCAGTTGACAGATTGTAAATACATTGACAAGAGTACATAATAAATAAGTACATTGTGCCTTCATAAGTATGATCGTTTTTTTTGCAAGATGTCAATTACAAATGTACTGTATAACTGAATGTTTTTTTTTGCGGTAAGTTGATTCCATTGGATTGAATATCTCTCCAGCAACTACATGTACGAATACAAATAAGCTTGTTTACTGAACCATGCATTCACAAAGACAGAAATATACCAAAAGTGTTTTGTGTGAACTGGGCTTTGAAGAGACAATTTGGCCTCACCTCAAAGTCTGGCTCAGTTCCACTGCTGTAGCTAATCGTACTATGTGTGCTGAGTCTGTTACTGCCACTACCTTGGGAAAGTAAAAGTAAAACGTAAGCTCAGGAAAGAAAGAGACACTTCAAGTCATTGTGAAACAGTTTCTTGAACAAGAGCTTGTGGTAGGTAGCTATGAACACCCAAGAGTGCACATTAATAGCTAGAGATGAAAGCCACTTAGAGAGAGGAGCTGAGTAGAGCAACAATAATGGGGAGAGTAATGTGCTACAGGTTTTTATCTTTTAGACATAATGACCATACGGGATATGGAAATAATCAGAGTTGATCAGCACAACAAATGTGTTTCAGATTTCATCACTTCTCCAAACAAAAATTATATTTACAAAAGCACTATTTTGGTACTAATACAGATTTTTTATAATAACAATAATATATACAACATCAAAATCACTAAAAAAAGACCAACTTAATAATTACATCAGTTGTCATTTTCTACTACCATTCTGACATTAGGCTCATAGGGACATTAAAACAACAGAGAATGTACTCACTGGATGTGCTGGAGGTGCTGTCAGTCTTCCAGGTGCCTCTCTTGCTTGGCCGGGTCACAGGAGGGGGTTGGGCAATGACCCGTGGGGTGGGCTCGTACACAGAACACTCCACAACCATGTTGGAGCCCAAGTGGAGGTTCCTCTGCAGTGGGGCGGTTATCTCCAGACCTCACAGGGTAGAGGCCAGATCAACAATAAGCATCACTCATCAACAACAAGCTAAATATCATACATACATAGATGTTACAAAGTACCAGTGGCGACCCGTCATTCAGGGCAGGTGGCGCAGAGCCCCACCTGTTTTGAGCCCCAACTCAAAACAGGTGTTTTGGTTGTTGCCTGTTTTGCATGTTATTTTGCCATTAATACGTGTCACACATCAGTTTGCAAACACCGTCTCTTTTTTGCTTTCTTGAGTAAGGCAGCACCAAAATGTAGGTGTTTCAGCCTAGCTCAGTGCTTTCTGTGGTGGTGGTGGGGCAGCCAGCGGAAAATATGGAGCATAGGGGTTGATAATGTTCTCTAGTTGCGCCGTGATTGGCTCAGTGTTCTGTCACTCATGGGGACACTACCTCACCGCAAAATCTACGGGTAGAGCTAGAAAATTCCAGACCCTTGGGTGCTGCCATAGAGTTACATTAGAAGTGCCCATCCAAGAAGGCTCAAGTTCATTGGCCACAGATAAAAGGACGTCAAATCATGTTGTATCTACCGTAGCTTTGATTGGACTGATCATGTCAACATCATACTTTCAAAATCTTAGCTAGCAAGCTAGCAGTCATCATCATGAATCAAGTTGACAATCTACTGGCAAATCCTTTTTAATCCTTGTCATATGAAGAGAAATAATGAAGAGAAATTATAGATAAAACGTATCGGTGCTCATCGGCAATTGGACATAAACATTACACAACAAGTTGGAAATCGCAAATTCAACAATGAGTGGTTTGGAAGGAATCAGTGGCTAAATGCAAGCTTTGCAAAGCAATCACTAGCCTGCTATTCAGTGGAATGGGTATGTGGTCCAAGTCTGGGTTTAAGGGTCTCTTTTCCAAGCTTAAAAGGATAAACATTCAACACCATGGGCCATAAAAGTTGAATACATTGGCCATGCTGTCAATCCTGCATGACTTCTGCCACATTCTCAGACTTCAGTGACTTCAAGACAACTGGGAACTCAAATGAAAAACATGAGCTCCGACTGAGAAAATACGGTCATCCAACTCGGAATTCCATTCCAATCTGATTGAGAGGGGGTCAAATACCTATTTCCCTCATTAAAATGCAAATCAATGTATAAAAAATTTTACATGCGTTTTTCTGGATTTTTTTGTTGTTATTCTGTCTCTCACTGTTCAAATAAACCTACCATTAAAATTATAGACTGATCATTTCTTTGTCAGTGGGCAAACGTACAAAATCAGCAGGGGATCAAATACTTTTTTCCCTCACTCTAGCTAGTAGTCTCCAAATATTCTTACCGATCTCCTTCCCAAACTTCTCCCTCTCTTTGTGGCGTCTGGTAATGCTGTGTCGTAATCTTTTCAAGTTTTCCTGTGACACATTTTTCTGTCTTTATTCATGGAGGTAGTGTTTCAGGTTATCATTGAGCCACAGAAAATATATGTTTATTGTGTTCTGCCAAGAGATATGAGTATTAACTATAATCTACTACTGTACCTTTTGATTGCGCAGAGACTGAGATCTCCTATCCTCGTCAAACTGCCAGGCCTTAAATTCCTTGACAGCATCATCCACACTCATGACCCCCACCTTCACCTTCTCCTGCAAGGCTATAAGCTGCCTCTGGCCTTGGGTCCTCGTCTCAGCATAGGGGTCGTGGGAAGAGGAGGTGGAGGCTCTGTCTCTCACAGGCATCACTGGAGGTTTGGAGGCACATACATTGTTTACTAATTAGTGGAGAAGATGTGATTCAGGACAAATAACAATGTATATTTGATACATACCAGTGGCTGACTCTGTTTCTCTGAGGTCCCTCTGTGGATTTGATTCTTCTTTTGCTGAAAACACTGTGAATCAAAAATCATAGTTATTCACCTCGACCTAAAATACATAACACTGGTTTGGCAACTCATGCACTAGCTAATACCTTTGGAGAACACTTTAGCTATCTACCTCTTGAGATGTAGGTATTGGACTCCTCAGGCTCTGAAAATGTTTCGGGTCTTGGAATGGGGGCTGGTGGACGGTTGACAATTTCCGGGATATAGCTCGCAATCTCGTCCACCGTGTCATAGATTTGATCAGAAACATACATGCTGTAGGTTTCCTCTTCCTCAAACCCCTCTGGTTCTTCCACCTGGTCTCCCACCTCTTCATCAGTTGTATGCTCCCCAACTTGGGGCACACCTACATCAGGTTTACCAACAACAACAAAAAAAGCCACATCACTTGTAAAAAAGAGAGAGGCATTTTAGGATCTGAATATCTAGACTATAAACCATACTTAAGTCCACAAGTCCAATTACAGTACAATACAGTACAGTATTTTGTGAATTTACCTTGAAAGAACTTTCTAAGTATGAATTCCTCTGGGTTATGAGGCTCTCCTAATGCCTTCTCCATGTCCTCATCTGTGGGAAATAAAATATTAAAAGATCTTCAACATCATCATTATCATTAACATCATCATCATCAAAGAGAGATGGTACTTCATGTGATTAGTCATAATTAGTCATACATAGGTCTTCCATGCAGTCGGGGTTTAAGCCCATCATGGTCTCATAGATGTCTTCTTGACACCCAGGGTTTAGGGAGTCGTTCATGATGATATCTTGAGAGGAGTTGGAAATGGTCTCGTACACCTCCTCATCTTCTTCAGCCGAGATGGATTCTTTGATATGAAACTTCAGCATGTCAGCTGTCTCCTACAGAGGAGATATCGTGCACATAGTCTTCACTAAATATATGTTTTCAGAAAGTTCCAACAATAACATTTACCAGTAGCTTTTCATTCATTCTTGTGCAATTCAGAGTATAAGCATAATGCACTTCCATTTGGTACAAGTGACAGTGAGCTGGCTGTGGTCAATGACATCATTGAGATCACACTACAGAGATACAAGATAAATACATCACGAAATTAAAATACTAACAATGGACTTACCACAAAGTCGTCTATGAACTGTCTCAGGTCAGAGAAGCCGCTCTTCTCTGCCAATGTATTTGGGTAGTCTCCATTCTTATTCATCACGCTGTAGGCCTGTAAGGCACCTGGACACTGAAGCAGGACTGTGGTAAGCTTCTTCAGCCCATACTTTGCAGCAAAATGAAGCAGAGTGGGAAGCTCCTCCTTTCGCTGATCTGAGTGACAAAACAAATTCATCGATGTCATCTATTCCACTTGTTCTGAACGTTCTTGAGGACTTGAAAACTATCAGGATATAAGTTGAAATGGTTCTACCTCGAACCAGAAAGGGTTTTACCTGGAACCAAAAAGGGTTTGTCAAAGGGAAATCCTATGGGGACAGCCGAAGAACCCTTTTAGGTACTAGATATAACTTAATTTTTCTAAGAGTGCACGAACAGAGTGCCTTTTGGATAGTGTAATTTTGTCCCCCAAAAATGTCACCCAATTTTAATATTGTCATAAAGAGCACATGTCCAACTTCATAATAACCATGTTCTCCCATCTCCATAGGTTAAATTAAGAACAATGACTATAAAAGGTGATAATTAAAGTAACAAGGTTGACGTAACAGGGTTGATCTCATCTTAAATTAGCCATAACTCCCCTTGTGACAGGGGGAATAGAAGCTTGTTGTGTGCAATAAGGAGGGGCAATTAAATGCAAGCTTAACAAAACATTTGAACTTGTTGAAACATTCCTAGCCTATCTATCTATGGGTAACAGGGTTGACGTGTTATGCTCGACACTACATTTCTGGAAATGGCCAGAAAGAATATACTATTACTTGACTTTTAGATGTTCAATGTTTCTTTAGAAACATTTCTTTAAAAAAGACAACTTTTACCATATTAAAAAGAGAGTTAAGTTCAGTTAACAGTTCAGTGGTCAGATGACGCAGATGCTAAGCTACAGGACTGTTTTGCTAGCACAGACTGGAACATGTTCCAGGATTCTTCAGACAGCATTGAGGAGTACACCACATCAGTCACGGGCTTCATCAATAAGTGCATCGATGATGTCGTCCCCACAGTGACCGTACGTACATACCCCAACCAGAAGCCATGGATTACAGGAAACATCCGCACTGAGCTAAAGGGTAGAGCTGCCGCTTTCAAGGAACGGGACTCTAACCCGGACGCTTATAAGAAATCCCGCTATGACCTCCGACGAACCATCAAACAGGCAAAGAGTCAATACAGGTCTAAGATTGAATCATACTACACTGGCTCTGACGCTCGTCGGATGTGGCAGGGCTTGAAAACTATTACAGACTACAAAGGGAAGCACAGCCGCGAGCTGCCCAGTGACACAAGCCTACCAGACGAGCTAAACCACTTCTATGCTCGCTTCGAGGCAAGCAACACTGAAGCATGCATGAGAGCACCAGCTGTTCCGGATGACTATGTGATCACGCTCTCCGTAGCCGATGTGAGTAAGACTTTTAAGCAGGTCAACATTCACAAGGCCGCAGGGCCAGACGGATTACCAGGACGTGTACTCCGAGCATGTGCTGACCAACTGGCAAGTGTCTTCACTGACATTTTCAACATGTCCCTGACTGAGTCTGTAATACCAACATGTTTCAAGCAGACCACCATAGTCCCCGTGCCCAAGAACTCTAAGATAACCTGCCTAAATGACTACCGACCCGTAGCACTGACGTCTGTAGCCATGAAGTGCTTTGAAAGACTGGTCATGGCTCACATCAACAGCATAATCCCAGAAACCCTAGACCCACTCCAATTTGCATACCGCCCCAACAGATCCACAGATGATGCAATCTCTATCGCACTCCACACTGCCCTTTCCCACCTGGACAAGAGGAACACCTACGTGAGAATGCTATTCATTGACTACAGCTCAGCATTCAACACCATAGTGCCCTCTAAGCTCATCACTAAGCTAAGGATCCTGGGACTAAACACCTCCCTCTGCAACTGGATCCTGGACTTCCTGACGGGCCGCCCCCAGGTGGTAAGGGTAGGTAACAACACATCTACCACAATGATCCTCAACACGGGGGCCCCTCAGGGGTGCGTGCTCAGTCCCCTCCTGTACTCTCTGTTCACCCATGACTGAATGGCCAGGCACGACTCCAACACCATCATTAAGTTTGCCGACGACACAACAGTGGTAGGCCTGATCACCGACAACGATGAGACAGCCTATAGGGAGGAGGTCAGAGATCTGGCCGTGTGGTGCCAGGACAACAACCTCTCCCTCAACGTGACCAAGACAAAGGAGATGATTGTGGACTACAGGAAAAAAAAGAGGACTGAGCACGCCCCCATTCTCATCGACGGGGCTGTAGTGGAACAGGTTGAGAGCTTCAAGTTCCTTGGTGTCCACATCACCAACGAACTATCATGGTCCAAACACACCAAGACAGTCGTGAAGAGGGCACGACAAAGCCTATTCCCCCTCAGGAGACTAAAAAGATTTGGCATGGGTCCTCAGATCCTCAAAAAATTCTACAGCTGCACCATCGAGAGCATCCTGACTGGTTGCATCACCGCCTGGTATGGCAACTGCTTGGCCTCTGACCGCAAGGCACTACAGAGGGTAGTGCGTACGGCCCAGTACATCACTGGGGCAAAGCTTCCTGCCATCCAGGACCTCTATACCAGGCGGTGTCAGAGGAAGGCCCTCAAAATTGTCAAAGACTCCAGCCACCCTAGTCATAGACTGTTCTCTCTGCTACCGCACGGCAAGCGGTACCGGAGTGCCAAGTCTAGGTCCAAAAGACTTCTCAACAGCTTCTACCCCCAAGCCATAAGACTCCTGAACAGCTAATCATGGCTACCCGGACTATTTGCACTGCCCCCCCACCCCATCCTTTTTACGCTGCTGCTACTCTGTTAAGTATTTATGCATAGTCACTTTAACTCTACCCACATGTACATATTACCTCAACTACCTCAACTAGCCGGTGCCCCCGCACATTGACTCTGCAATGGTACCCCCCTGTATATATAGCCTCCCTACTGTCACTTTATTTTACTTCTGCTCTTTTTTTCTCAACACTTTTTTTGTTGTTGTTTTATTCTTACTTTTTTGTTTAAAATAAATGCACTGTTGGTTAAGGGCTGTAAGTAAGCATTTCACTGTAATGTCTGCACCTGTTGTATTCGGCGCATGTGACCAATAAAATTTGATTTGATTTGATTTGAGTTAAAGGGTTGACCTTAACCTGAGGGACAAATGTAAATTAGTCACTAATCACATTAAATAAATAATAATCTTCAGAAATGACTTTGTTGCAAAGCAACAAAATAACTAGGGCTTTACAGTGATAGTGAAAACATAGGGACATTTTTTTCCTAAAAGGTCAGACAAACATGACATGGGACATGCCACAATTGGGATTTTAAGAGAAAACAAACATAAAATAAACTACTATTGGATTTTTTTTTTACATGGTTTAATTAGAGGGTAGATGTACGTGATCCAACTGTTAAATATAGTTTTTAATAAAAGATGTCACTAGGGCATAAAAGGCATTCTATTCGTGGAATGACCCAGATGGCATTTTTTATGTCCAGATAACATTTTTGGATGTCCAGATAAAGCATTTTGATAATCAGTGACAGTGGCCATGTCCCAGATTATTCAGATGTCCCATATAGGATTATAGCAGGTGAATGGTAGAGAAACCTTTTTTCTAAGTGTCCCATTTATCTAATTTCATAACCACAACCCTAGTCACCCTAATCTGACTGACTAACTGTCTGCTAAAATGGGTTTAAATACAGTGCATTCAGAAAGTATTCAGACCCCTTCACTTTTTCCACATTTTGTTACTTTACAACTTTATTCTAAAATGGATTAAATAAATAAAGATCCTCATCAATCTACACACAATACCCCATAACGACAAAGTGAAAACAGGTTTTTAGATTTTTTTGCAAAAGTATAAAAAATACAAAACAGAAATACCTTATTTACATAAAAATTCAGACCCTTTGCTATAAGACTCGAAATTGAGCTCAGGTGCATCCTGTTTCCATTGATCATCAGGCCTTTATATGCCAAAAGGCACCTAAAGGGCTCTCAGACCAAGTGTCACGTCTGTCACATGTCACGTCTGGAGGAAACCAGGCACCGCTCATCACCTGGCCAATACCATCCCTATGGTGAAGCATGGTTGTGGCAGCATCACGCAGTGGGGATGTTTTTCAGCGGCAGGGACTGGGAGACTAGTCAGGATCGAGGGAAAGATGAACGGAGCAAAGTCCAGAGAGATCCTTGATGAAAACCTTCTCCAGAATGCTCAGGACCTCAGACTGGGGCAAAGGTTCACCTTCCAACAGTACAACGACCCTAAGCACACAGCCAAGACAACGCAGGAGTGGCTTCGGGACAAGTCTCTGAATGTCCTTGAGTGGCCCAGTCAGAGCCCCGACTTGAACCCGATCGAACATCTCTGGAGAGACCTGAAAATAGCTGTGCAGCAACGCTCCCCATCCAACCTGACAGAGCTTGAGATGATCTGCAGAGAAAAATGGGAGAAACTTCCCAAATACAGGTGTGCCAAGCTTGTAGCGTCATACCCAAGAAGACTCGAGGCTGTAATCGCTGCCAAAGGTGTTTCAACAAAGTACTGAATACTTATGTAAATATGATATTTCATTATTTATTACCCCTTTTTCTCCCCAATTAGTAGGTACAGTCTTGTCCCATCGCTGCAACGCCCGTGCGGACTCGGGAGAGGTGAAGGTCGAGAGCCATGCGTCCTCCGAAACACGACCTCACCAAGCCGCACTGCTTCTTGACACACTGCTCGCTTAACCTGGAAGCCAGCCTCACCAATGTGTCAGAGGAAACACTGTACAGCTGGCGACCGAAGCCAGCGTGCATGCGCCCGGCCGCCACAAGGAGTTGCTAGAGCGCGATGGGACAAGGACATCCCAGCCGGCCAAACCCTCCCCTAACCCGGCACGACGCTGGGCCAATTGTGTGCCGCCTCATGGGTCTCCCGGTCACGGCCGGTTGAGACACAGCCCGGGATCGAACCCGGATCTGTAGTGACGCCTCTAGCACTGATCAGTGCCTTAGACTGCTGCGCCACTCGGGAGGCCCAGTTTTTTATATTTAATAAATGTGCTTTGTCATTATGGGGTATTGTGTGTAGATTGATGAGAATATATATATATATTTTTAATCAATTTTAGAATAAGGCTGTAACGTAACAAAATGTGGACAAAGTCAAGTGGTCTTTAAACTTTCCGAATGCACTATACATCCAACTAGGGACACATTTGACTGTCAGAGTACATTTAGAGGCACAATCTGTCATTTAAAGGCAATCCGTAAGAGTCCCTGTCATTAAATGATACTTTTCAATGAATTAAATAAGAATATAACTTACAAATGCATTTTGGGCTTGCTTATTACAACTGTCTTACACTGTCATAAAATTGTATTACTCCATTCTCTATTTTTTTTTGTCTTGGTTTTGAAGAATGACTTATAAATGCCTAACTAAGATTAGTTAAACTATTTGAGAAACTCCCCTTACTCTCTTGTGAAACATTCACAACAATGTAGTGTAAGTATTCACTAGCAATTAACTAGCACATTGTTTTGCCTTATCACAAAAACATGCATACCAGTTTCGATAGAACTGTTGGTGTGTAGACAAATGTATCTTTCCATTATATTTTCTGGTAAAAAAGTTAGGCACTTACTTGCAGCCATATTTTCTTCCTCTAGCTGTCTGATTCCAAACACATGAAGTCCACTTGCAGGGATCCTGCATTGTAATGAGTCTGTCAGCAAATTGTCAAGTGACTCTGTGGTATTGGATGTTATATTGAATGCCTAGAAACACAGAAATGAACAACACTCTATTAAAGAAAAAATAATACGTCCAGTCTAAAGAATTTAACCAAATATTTTTGGGGCTTTCTTGAGGTTTTGGTCAGTGTGAGATCACACGTTCAATGTCATTGAACAATGTCTCAATCAAAATCAATATATTTAGTTGTTGAAATCGGAATTTGTCATTATTCAGTATTGTATTTTTAGGTAACACTTTATTTGGATAGTCCATCTGTAGATGCTTAACAGACTATTTGCAGACTATCAGTAACATTTCAACTATCTACTAACCCTAACCCTACCCTAGCCCTAACCCTAACCTTAACAATTATGTTAACCCTAAACTTAACCCTTACCCTAACCCTAACCCTAACCTTAACCCTTATGTTAACCCTAAACTTAACCCTTACCCTAACCTTAACACTTACGCTAATCCTTATTCTAAACCTAACCCTAACCGTAACCTTAGCAAGCAGTTGCTTATCAACATTTACATTTACATTTTAGTCATTTAGCAGACGCTCTTATCCAGAGCGACTTACAGTTAGTGAATACATTTGTTTTTTTATACTGGCCCCCCGTGGGAATCGAACCCACAACCCTGGCATTGCAAACGCCATGCTCTATCAACTGAGCTACATCCCTGCCGGCCATTCCCTCCCCTACCCTGGACGACGCTGGGCCAATTGTGCGCCGCCCATGAGTCTCCTGGTCGCGGCCGGCTGCGACAGAGCCTGGATTCGAACCAGGATCTCTAGTGGCACAGTTAGCACTGCGATGCAGTGCCTTAGACCACAGATAGGTTGTTGATAGTATGACCATCTGCAGAGCATCATGTTTTTACTCTATACTGAGCTGACTCTCACCTGACACATAAAGTCCAAGGGAGCAGCTGCATGTTCAAGGTAACTGCTGATTTCTCCCATGACTGTGTAGTATGTTACAGGCCTCAAACAGACTGGTGAGCCGTTGCTATACAGAGTGAGTGTCACCTCTCCTGCTGGCATATCTGGGAAGGATAGCATTTATCTGAGTTAGCATCCTGTATATCTACTGTACGGCCTATTGGCTTATCAAATCACTTCAAGTTATTCACATTGGTGGAAGAAATGTCCATATTAGGAATGTGAAAGTGAAATAGAAGACTGGGGTAAGTGGTCTAAAAGTTCCTCTTTCGATTTGTGATTGAAAGCCTCTAAAGGTTGTTTACTTACCAGGCGCATTAACACTGATAGTGTATTCATTCTCATAAATCCCTAGAACCCGTTTTGCAGTTGAATCTTCAGAGGAAAACTCCACCTCCATTTTCAACTGGTTGTCCAGTTTATTAGAAAAGATGATAAAAATAGTTGCATGGTCCTGAAAAACAGGTACAGATATCATGGAGACATTAGATACAGAAAACATTGCATTCTATGCTTAATAGTTGTTTGCTCAAAAAACTGCAATTGCAAATAAAGTTATCCTGAGCTGATTACAATTTGAGGGTGATTTGAGGGTGTGTCTCGATATTAATCAATACATTATTTTTAAAAATGCACACAAATTAAATATAGTACCAAGAGGAATGGTTGTCCGACATTATACACTCCAACAACTTTTACACTTATGACAGTATCATGTACCTGTTATGTAAGATACATTTTTCCTCATGCGGTGTTTTCCAGATGAAATCTTTAAACATTGTTCAGTACCATTACAGCGTTGTCTATAAAGTATGTTAACCAATTCTTACCCCGCATAAAACTCTGTTTGGTTGAACAGTGAGGCAGGTGGGATGTGTGGGGCTCGTTGCCTGGTTTGGGTAGATCTCTGTTCTCACATCGTCACTGTCGTCCTGGATACACTCTGGTTCTGTCACTGACCCTTCCTCTGTCCCCTCAGCTTTGGGGTTCATAACTACAGGGATCTCACACTGTGTTTTTGCTTCTATTTTTGCTGTAGCTTCCACCTCATGTTCAGCCTCTTCTGTATTACCTTTGAATACAAAGTCAAAATAAAAACCTATCATCAGTTGTTCTCAGTTGAAAATGGGTGAATTAATTAACAAAACTTTTAGACTGTACGTTCACAACTAGAGGGTAAGTGATCCTCTGTGAGTATGATACACTAATGGTAAATTACTCATGCACTTTAAACAGAGACGCAAAAACTCATAAACCTAAACGATTCAAGTTACTGTATCGCTGAATGTTATGAGAATCTGGCTATATACTTTCACGTTGTACCAACGGTGAGGGTTCGCTGCTTCCCCAATCAAAAGCCCTGGATTAGCACAGAGGTTGGCGCTAAACTAAAGAACAGGGCTACCGCACACAGAGCTATCGTAGACAACCCTGATGCTACGGCCGAAGACAGGAATAAGTACAAGAAGTCCCACTATGACCTCCGCAGAGTCATCAAACGAGCAAAAGGACAATATAGGAATAAGGTGGAATCTTATTACACAGGCTCCGATGCCCGCCGCTTGTGGTAGGGGCTACAGTTTATACGGATTACATAGGAAGACCCAACGATGCCTCTCTACCAGACGAACTCAATGCATTTTATGCATGCTTTAACAACAACAACATCGAGTTGGGTGTGAGGGCATTTACCGACCCAGAGGACTGGGTGATCTTGCTCTCTGAGGCCGATGTGAGAAGGGTCTTTAATCAGGTCAACACCTGCAAGGCCGCGGGCCCAAACGGTATTCCATGGCGCGTTCTCAGAGCATGCGCAAAACAGCTGGCAGGCGTATTCGCGGTAATTTTCAACCTCTCCCTGTCCCAGTCTGTAATCCCCACATGTTTTATTATGACCACAATCATCCCTGTTCCTAAGAACTCTAAGGCTTCATGCCACAATGGCTACCACCCTGTAGCACTCACTTCTGTAATCATGAAGTGCTTTGAGAGGCTGGTTATGGAACACATTAACTCCACCATTCCAGCCACCCTAGACCCATTCCAGTTTGCATACTGCCCCAACAGATCCATAGAGGATGCAATCTCAATTGCTCTCCACACTGCCCTCACCCACCTAGATAAGAGGAATACCTATATGAGAATGCTGTTCATTGACTACAGCTCAGCGTTCAACACCATTGTCCCCTCCAAACTCGTCACCAAGCTTAGGACTCTGTGTCTGAACACCTCCCTCTGCAACTGAATCCTGGACTTCCTGACGGGCCGACCCCAGGTGGTGAGGGTAGGGAACATCACCTCCACCACGCTGACCCTTAACACAGGGGCCCCACAGGGGTGTGTGCTTAGTCCCCTCCTGTACTCCCTGTTCACCCACGACTGTGTGGCAACGCACAACTCCAACACCATTATCAAGTTGGCTGACGACACGATGGTGGTAGGCCTGATCACCGGCGATGATGAGTCAGCCTACAGGGAGGAGGTCAGTGACCTGACAGTGTTGTGCCGGAGCAACAACCTCTCCCTCAACGTCAGCAAGACCAAGGAGCTGATCGTGGACTACAGGAAACGGGGGTGGGGGGGGGGGGGGGGGGGGCAGTGGAGCAGTTAGACAGCTTCAAGTTCCTCTGTGTCCAAATCGCTAAAGACTTAAAATGGTCCAAACACACACACACAGTTGTAAAGAAGGCGCGACAGAGCCTCTTGCCCCTCAGGAGGTTGAAAAGGTTTGGCATGGGCCCTCAAATCCTGAAAAGGTTCTACAGCTGTACCATTGAGAGCATATTGACAGGCTGCATCGCTGCTTGGTATGGCAATAGCACCAGGGTTGTGCGGACAGCCCAGTACATTACTGGGGCCGAGCTCCCAAGAAAGCCATTTCACTGTACTTGTGCATGTGACATTAAAACTTGAAACTTGAAACAAAGTAAGGCAGAAAAACAACATGGGTATTATAAAGCGAACATACAGTCAGCGATGGATTCTAGAACGGTGGAGATGTAAAGAGCAGGTTCGTCTTCAGCATACAGTTTTCTCCAGCTCCGCCAGTTTTCAAACCATTCAGTGGGAATGTCATCCTCTGACATCCCACACAACAGTGCAACCACTCTGTGTGGAGGATGAAGGAGTCTCTGAAAAGTTCCCAGGACTTTAGGGTAATTTAGAATGTCCAGGATTGCCGTTGTCAGCAGCAGCACGATGCATTTACTATTATGGAAAATGTTAAAGTCACATCCATGTAGCTGGTCAGCACAGTCAATTGCATACAATACGATGGACCTCTTGGGAAACTTGCGTGAAGACTTCAATATTTTCTGCAGATATGTAGCCCATTCCTGAGCCTCGAAAGAATGGACAATCAACAGCTCACACGTGGAGTGGAATCCAGACATTGCTGGAAGACAGAAAATTATTTTAATAATAGATTTAATATCTTATCAATTAATTATCAAAACACTATTTATTTATGTATGTACAGTGGGGTCTGAAATTATTTACACCGTTGATAAAGATTAGCAAAAATGACTATAAGATAAATATTTCAAATACTGAGATTTATTGTATGCTCAACATTTTTTGACATTTTATTATTTTATACTAATACAATTGCTCAGAGAAAGAGATTTTGTTTAACAAGTAATATATTTTTGGCACCAAGCCTTTTCCTAAAATGTAGGCATTTGACTCTATTTCCTACTTCACAGTAGGGCCGTTATAGGGCCTTTTTTGCTGAAAAGTTTGCAGAAATGCCTTCTTGAACAAGTGAACTTTCATATGCCTTAATTACGAATACTAATACAAATGCTCAATTATGAGTTTAGCCAAGGAGAAAGCACTGAGCTATGTAGGGAGAAAGGCAGGATCCGTGATTGGCTGAGAAAATGGAGGGGGATAATAGAGGGACTACTTTCTGGAGGACAATGCCATGCCGACTCATGCGTTTGCATGTGAATTCTTAAAGAGATGGATGATGATTCAGTCACAAATGTTTTATGAGTTGGAGAACACATTGGGAAGGAGCTTAGACCATTTCTCCGTACAGAATCCTTCCAGATCCTTGATATCCTTTGTCTGCGCTTATCTTTATCAAGGGTGTCAATAATTTAGGACAACAGTGTATAGCTGTCCTTAATATACCTACATTAATTTAATATATCAAATTATATTCATAGATATTTTTTTATCTCTTAAATTATTTTAGAAAAAGAAAAGTCAAGGTATTAATCCTGGGATTATGCTTAATGTTGCACAGAAACTGTACACAATACCAGGTGTCCAAAACAGCCCGAGCTATGCGATTTCAAGATTGCTGTGGTTAAAAGAATGAATAGGCATGCTGTTTGAGATGTCAACACTGAGTACAGTCAATAAGTAGCTGAGCAAACATTGACCAGAGTCAACTTTGGTCAGAGTAATTGGTTGTAACTCATTACTGTACTTAATCAAGCCAAGTTCACCCTTGTAAAACCTCAAAGTTAAAGAAACAGCATACTGTAAAGCTTCTTTGTCAGAAACTCCTATATTTGTAGTATTGACGGTTAGAACATTTGTCATTTGTTTAAACCAACATGATTACCACATAAAAAAAATACTATGGTATAAATACTTTTGTATTACTATAGTTATATACTATAGTATTCACTGTAGTGTTTTTGCTGACTTTACTGTATTATTCACTGTAGTGTTTTTGCCGACATGACTTTAGTATACTATAGTATTCACTCTAGTGTTTTTGCAGACATTACTGTACTATACTGTAGTATTTACAATAGTGTGTTTACGGTCATGACTGTAGTCTATTAAAGTATTCACCGTAGCATTTTTGTGGAAATGACTGTTGTATACTATAGTATTCACTGTAGTATTTTTGCGGACTTTACTGTAGTATTTCATAGTAGTGTTTTTGCGGACATGACTGTAGTATACTAAAGTATCCACTGTAGTGTTTTTGTGGACATGACTGTAGTATACTATAGTATTCATCGTAGTGTTTTTGCAGACATTACTGTAGTATTCACTGTAGTGTTTTTGAGGACATGACTGTAGAATACTATAGTATTCACTGTAGTGTTTTTGCAGACATTACTGTAGCATACAATAATATTCACTGTAGTTTTTGCTGACATGACTGTAGTATACTATATTTTTTACTGCAGTGTTTTTGCATACATGACTGTAGTATTCAAATCAAACAGCATTGAGAAAGCTAGCAGCTAGCAGAAAAGCTAGCTAGCAGTCCAATCGATCTAAAAAATCTAAAGTAAGAACTACGTGATCAAGGGATACTATAGTGTGTAGTATAGTATACTACAAAATTCTATAGTAAGCACATTACACGATCGAGGGGGATACTACAGTGTGTAGTATAGTATTCTACACAGTATACTACTAACATTCTAAAGTAATTACTACATGATCAAGGGATACTATAATGTGTAGTATAGTATACTACACAATTCTATAGTAAGCACACTACACGATCGAGGGGGATACTACAGTGTGTAGTATAGTATTCTACAGTATAATAGACAATTATATAGTAAGCACTACACAATTGAGGGGGTTACTACAGTGTGTAGTATAGTATTCTACAGTATACTACAAAAGTCTATAGTAAGCACTACATGATCAAGGGATACTACATTGTGAAGTATAGGATTCTATAGTATACTACACGTTTACTACAGAATTCTATAGAATTGTATAGTACGTACTATAGTATTCTATGGTAAACTGTAGTATTTTTTTTTACGTGGGTTAACCCCGATCCTAAATGTGCTTCAATCATACTGTACAGACATTGTTTTGCAAAGCTTTTGCTGAGATGACATGTCACCAATGCAGCTGTCAACCATAACTACAGGAAGAGTAAAATACTAACTTCCTTATTTCTGACCTAAATCTGTCAATGGTCTTACATTATACAGTCAGTCAAACTAAAAAAGCATTGTTAGATTCTTGAGGCAGTTTTAGGTAGATATCATGTTGAAGTTTCTCAATGAAAACGTAAAATTCTTTAAAACCATGAGTGTGCAGTGAGCGCTTATAGTATTGCTTTAGTTTGTAGAATTTGAAACATTTGTATTTTATTGTCAGGCTAACGTCAGACAAAAAATTAAGAAATGTAAGATGTAAAACAAGTTCACTTCTTACCCAATTGCGAAGTTTGAAAACAGTTGCTCAACTCACCCTACGGCACAAAACATCTGCCGTTGTGAATGGCTCTTACTTGTTGGAGTTAAGCCTTTCTTTCTTCCTCACAGAATGTAGTATCTTCGCGTTAACAGCTTTCACCAAATAACCCCCTGCACTGTCATATTAATAGAAACAGTTAGTTTCCTGATATTAGGTGACACTCTGTCACTTCCTAAAACAGATGTGACATGTGAGATATGCCCCTGCGATAAGTGTAAGAGAAATGCAGTTTACTGTATCATGTTATCATTTGTGTCGACATGATCTAGTGCTTGTGACATATTTTATCTGTCTATATATTTTATCTCTTCTCACAAAGTTTGGTTTCTAACAACTAAAACTAAAACAAACCTCAAGTCAAACCAATAATGATAGAGCAACATACCAAGACAACAAAGCAGTCATTATATCTTGTATTTTCCACTAACACCCACCCACACACCTGATAGTTGTCACATTATCCTTTTTTCACTTCCTCACACGGTGTGTGTGTGTGAGTGATTTTCAATGTCATGAGTGATTTTTAATGTCAACCGGAAAACACCACAAAAAGCATGTCAGAGACTGAGGGGACATGTGAGTTTACATATTGTCATAGACATCAGTTTGTATTGCTATAGATTGCTATGGATGTTACTAATCGGCATTAAGTACTCACACCAAACCCACATTACAACCCTCATAAGCACCGCTGAGAGGCATTCCAGAACTTTATATACAGTGCAGCAGGGGTAGGCAACCCTGTTCCTTGAGCGCCGCAGGTACTGCAGGATTTTGTTACAACTAGGCACCACACCTGACCAACTGAGCTGATTGATCAGTTCAGTGATTTCCTAAATTCAACACACCTGGTCTTCCAGGTCGGTTAAATCAAAAACATGAAGTGCCTGCGGCCTACCCCTGCAGCACAGTAACACAGGCCCACCAGAGGGCAGCATGTCATCACTGAACACAAACACTAACTCCAGCTCCAACTCTACATACACTACAAACTGCCTCTGGAAGCAACGTAAGCACAATAACTGTTTGTCGGGAGTTTCATGAAATGGGTTTCCATGGCCAAGCAGTCGCACACAAGCCTAAGATCACCATTCGCAATGCCAAGCGTCGGCTGGAGTAGTGTAAAGCTGGCCGCTATTGGACTCTGGAGCAGTGGAAACGCGTTCCCTGGAGTGATGAATCACGCTTCACCATCTGGCTGTCCGACGGACTAATCTAGGTTTGGAGGATGCCAGGAGAACACTACCTCCTCCAATGCATAGTGCCAACTGTAAAGTTTGGTGGAGGAGGAATAATGGTCTGGGGTGGTTTTTCATGGTTCGGGCTAGGCCCCTTAGTTCCAGTGAAGGGAAATCTTAACGCTACAGCATACAATTACATTCTAGACGATTCTGTGCACCCAACATTGTGGCAACAGTTTGGGGAAGGCCCTTTCCTGTTTCAGCATGACAATGCCCCCATGCACAAAGCGAGGTCCATACAGAAATGGTTTGTCGAGATCGGTGTGGAAGAACTTGACTGGCCGGCACATAGCCCTGACCTCAACCCCATCAAACACCTTTGGGATGAATTGGAACGCCAACTGCGAGCCAGGCCTAATCGCCCAACATCGATGCCCGACCTCACTAATGCTCTTGTGGCTGAATGGAAGCAAGTCCCCGCAGCAATGTTCCAACATCTAGTGGAAAGCCTTACATTTTACGTTTACATTTTAGTCATTTAGCAGACGCTCTTATCCAGAGCGACTTACAGTTTTGTGAGTGCACACATTTTCATACAGGCCCCCCGTGGGAAAAGAACCCACAACCCTGGCGTTGCAAGCGCCATGCTCTACCAACTGAGCTACAGCCTCCCAGAAGAGTGGAGGCTGTTATAGCAGCAAAGGGGGGACCAACTTCATATTAATGCCCATGATTTTGGAATGAGATGTTTGACGAGCAGGTGTCCACATACTTCTGGCCACATAGTGTACACATACTCATCATCGATTCTAAAATGTTTACTCTATTAACCTAATATCGGACGTTTCCACAATTACAATTCTAGAGCTATATGAGACTGATACATATTAATGAATTATCTAAAAATGAAATAATGTTGGTGCCCCCAGGCATGGAATCACTTTGCACTTCTCTTTTCTCTTTAATTCGTAAAACTCTAAGCCGTTGGGGAGTTATAAACTGACATATGGAATTGC